GCGCCATAGTGTTGGTTTTTTTTTTGAAAAAAGTCATGCAAATAATTAATTATTAAATTTTAATTTTTTACTCAAATTTTGACAATACACTTTTCTAATTGCTTATACGAAATTAAATTTATAACTTGGTAATAATTTCAAGTTCTAAATTAATTGGTGTAATTATTTTATGTAATACCCAGACGAATTATTACGAAATGGTGTCTTCATAATAATTAATAAGAAACTTTGTAAAAAGTACCAAAAGAAACGACAAAAAAACGTCGGAGAAAGTTAACAGCAATTTTCTTTTTTTTTCCCCGGAATTAGAAAATTAATTAAACAAATTCAAGTTTCAAGGCCACGTTATCGTATCGAATAATAATAATTGACGTAATCGCAACGGTTTATTTATTATTGAATCATTCAACAATAACGGAAGAAGAAAAATTAGGTCAGTTTAGTATTTCATTGTCAAGTGACAAAACCGCTGACTTGAACTTGTGCAATAATTACAACGAGATTTTTTTCTCTTACCTGGTATATATTTTTTTTGTTTTGAAAAAAAAAATTACACACACACGTTGGACACACTAGGATCGAAGAGACATATTATTTTTCAATCTAGTGACTTGTCTAGACTGTCAGAAAATGAAACAAGTGCATGCAGCAATGCTTTTAAGTGATAGTGGGAGGTAGGGGGGGCGGCCCCCTATGCACACACACTTGATAAAAATGCCCGACCATGAAAACTATTAGGCCTCATTACTGAGTCACCCTGTATACAAAATTACCAACACAAATTTTAATCAAATTGCATTATTTTTGTAATAATAAATTAAAATGTTTTTTTTAACAACCATTTTTTGTTTTCCTATAAAAGCTAATAAGTTTTATGATATTTAAATATTTAAAGATTGGGTACGAATTTAGAATAACAAAATCCCTACAAGTTTCATAGTACAAAAAAATGTGTCATTACTGACTCATCCTGTATAAAATTTTAATCACCCTGTAGATAGTAAACACAGTATTTAGCTATTTTTCCAGATTTCAAGTATCAAGGGATAAACAACCATTAATGTGATTATCTGATTCACCCTGTATACAAAATTACCAACACAAATTTTAATCAAATTGCATTATTTTTGAAAGAAAGAAAATCAATAGTGGAATAGAATAAATTATTTTTTTTAAGAACCATTTTTATTTGTTTTCCTTATAAAAGATAATAAAAAAAGATTGGGTACGAATTTAGAATAACGAAATCCCTACAAGTTTCATAGAACAAAAAAATGTGTGTCATTACTGACTCACCCTGTATAAAATTTTAATCACCCTGTAGATAGTAAACACAGTATTTAGCRATTTTTTCCGATTTCAAGTATCAAGAGATAAACAACCATTAACCTGATTAACTGATTCACCCTGTATACAAAATTACCAACACAAATTTTAATCAAATTGCATAATTTTTGGGTATTTTGGGTATGAATTTAGAATAACAAAATCCCCACAAGTTTCATGGAACAAAAAGTTGTGTCATTACTGACTCACCCTGTATAAAATTTTAATCACCCTGTAGATAGTAAACACAGTATTTAGCRATTTTTTCCGATTTCAAGTATCAAGAGATAAACAACCATTAACCTGATTAACTGATTCACCCTGTATACAAAATTACCAACACAAATTTTAATCAAATTGCATTATTTTTGTAATAATAAATTAAAATGTTTTTTTTAACAACCATTTTTTGTTTTCCTATAAAAGCTAATAAGTTTTATGATATTTAAATATTTAAAGATTGGGTACGAATTTAGAATAACAAAATCCCCACAAGTTTCATGGAACAAAAATGTGTGTCATTACTGACTCATCCTGTATAAAATTTTAATCACCCTGTAGATAGTAAACACAGTATTTAGCRATTTTTTCCGATTTCAAGTATCAAGAGATAAACAACCATTAACCTGATTAACTGATTCACCCTGTATACAAAATTACCAACACAAATTTTAATCAAATTGCATAATTTTTGGGTATTTTGGGTATGAATTTAGAATAACAAAATCCCCACAAGTTTCATGGAACAAAAAATTGTGTCATTACTGACTCACCCTGTATAAAATTTTAATCACCCTGTAGACAATAAACACAGTAATTTTGCCATTTTTCCCGATTTGAATTATTAAGGGATAAAGAACCCTTAATCTCGAGAATGTAGTTAACACCAGAGGTGAGCGAAGCGGGCCGAGGGCATTAATAATAATTATGTCAAAAAATTTTTTTGCCTTGGAAGCCGCCGATGATAAAATAAATCCAACTTACAGTTTGTGAAACGAGAAAAAATGGTTTTAAAACTCGTGTTAGCACTTTCACTCGCGTCGCAATTTCGATAAGAAATGGAAGAATCTTGTACCGGCAGCATTTATGACCCACACCTCCCAAAAACAGAAAGTGCAACATTTCCTCAGAAAATTTCACGCCAATTTGAAAATCCCACGTTGAAGCATTATTAGAATAAATCCATTTTGGGTGAAATAATACCAATGGGCGACACAATTTTAATTAATAATAATAATAATATAAATGATTCAGAAAAAAATTATTTATTTTTAAATATCAATATTGGCCAAGCACTTAGTCTGTCTTGTTTTCTTGCAACGTTCAAGGACATTAGGAAATAAAAACGCGTGTTATTTGTTTATGGCCGGCTTATTGTTACAAAATTATTAGTAATGTCAAAGATTATGCAATTTAAAACGTAACAATTGGCGTTTGAACTCAGTGAAAGTAAACTTGCACTTATATAAATGGAATTTCGCCGAAACGACGCATAAAATCAGACTTTTAATTCCATTCGGGCCTTGTTATACAAGAAAAACTTTCTAAAATGCGTTATTATTTATTAAATTACTAAAACAAACTGATGAGTAGAGTATTTATGCAACGAGCGAAGCGAGTGCGGAAATTTTAAGCCGACATGTTTAATTCATACAAAAAGTGTCATTCACAATAATAATAATAATGACAAAAATCTTGTTTGCCCCCCTATGTGATTTTTAATTATTTTTCGTTACGTCAAAAACTGGGGTAGACATTTATTTGAAAAAATAATTTTTAAGGAAGATTGATGTTGGGAATAAAATTCCTTTCAACCAAGATTTATAAAGTAAGAAGGTTGGCTCGTTTGGAGTGAGACACTAAAGAGTGAGTAAGATGGCTATATGGTGTCGTCACCTTTTTTAGTTTTTTTCATAAAAAATTAATATCTTAAAAACTATGTGTCCTAGGTCAAAACGGTTTGTACAGGAACATTTTACATATTGTACTAGTTTTTTATAAAAATAAAAAATTTTTGATTTTTTTGGTCAAAATTGGATTTTTCTAGACTTATTCTTAACTTTATTACTCAATATCTCAAAAACTAAGCATCGTAGAGTATTTTAACTTGTTGCATCGTGTTCAGCGCGTAATTTTACMTCTAGAAAACTATATTTCAAGCGTTTTTATGACTTTTAGTAAATTGACTATTTTTACGATTTTACTACAGCTCACCTTCAAAAACTCAAAAAATTCAAAATTTTTGAAACTTGACCAATTGTCGTTTTATGCACTTATTTGAGTCCTTAAGACCTCTAGGAATGTAAAAAACGTAAAATAGATCAATTTTAAAGTTAAAATTTTTTTTGATTTTTCTCGAGATTTTGGTCGATTTTTGGCACCCGGAGCGGTCTAATGGCAATAACTCCGGACTTATTAGAGATAACCTCTTATATTTGATACCGTTGGATAGAAAATTGAATTTTGTATCATATATTAAAAAGTTCAGTGCTCTACGATGAATAGTTATCGAGAAAATTTGTGATAAAGTCAAAAATATCGAAAATTTAAATCCGACTATAACTTCAAAACTATTAGGAATTTTGCAGTTTTTTTGACGCCAATCGATTCCCCGGAACATTTTACATAGGTTTAGGTCAAAACATTACATCATTGAGGCACAGTTTTGCCGCAATTTACAAATTAAAAAAAACTAAAAATTTGTCAACACCCCCCCTTAAGATCTAGTGTTTTTGAACATGTCTCAGATTCGATTTAAACCTATCT